ACCTGACCCCTCAAAGTAATATATTTTTCAGCTTACTAGTGAAGTCAGTCTCATCACCCACCTACGCATTATTCCATAGTTATGACAATAGAGAATAAGGTCTTCACCCTGCAGATGAGTATATTTCTAAGCATAAGAATACTCCTGTTGATGTCACTGGATGAATTAGATGTTTATCCTGTGTTGTACTATTGCAAATTTTGAAGACTATGTACAAATCTAGAGCATTTTTTACTTTAGCAAGCTCAGGAAAGTTTAAGAGTTAATTTTAAATAAAACCATATTGTAAGCTAAAAGGGCATGTCTGTCATCAAAATTGTAATCAAAAATTACCTTTCGACATCACAGGCACCCCCTACTTCAACTGAAACTATTTGAAAAGCTTGTTGACAACACCAACAGAAAAACCATGGACCCCACCACCAAGAACTCGCTGTCTGATCTTAAAACGGCTCCTTCCGTTGATTTGCTGAAGTTGAGAATGGTGGTGTGTGGACAAATCCAAAGACACTTCAGTCAAGATACAGAAATTTGAGACTGGAAATCCCTCTGTGATTTCTACCACAGGAAATGCAGCAGCCACTCCAAGCCAGGGAGCCTGGCAGAGGTCTGCTCCACAAGTGTTTTGGGTCTAGCTGCTCTGCACTACTGAACATATACTGCTCCGCACAGTAATCAGTCCCAGCTGGCTCCCGGAAGAGGCTCTCAAGCAGCTCCCCAGCCAAAAACAACAACAATAATCAAACTATATTAAAATTTTTCCAAATGCCAGCCCATGCCTCAGTTTATCGTGTTTGCCATAGCATATGAAGCTCCATATGTTGTTTTTTGTAATGTCAACTTTGAATTTGTCACTTCTTCCTGCACCAAGTCTCTTTTCTTCTGTTTTGGATTTTGTAGTATCAACCACATCTGAGATTTTCTTCGTCTGCTGCCTCACTTCTGAACAGTGCTGTGCAACATGAACCTTTGCCCAACACAATCCAGGGCTTTAACCATCTTCTCTGAGATCCTTGTAAATGTACAATCACTATCACTAGTAAGTCTTACTCTGGACCAGGTACATTCTTTTGAACATTTATACCTATCAGTAGTTTCCTGTCACATGCTTTGATCTCAATGCTAACCAGATTTCTCGTTTGGGAACTTTTTTACCCTTTGGTGTAAACACAATTTGGAGCCCCCAACCCAAATGCAGGATCAGCTTATCAGCTGCAAATCAGTCATTCCTGGAATTAATAAAAACGCCAAATACACCAGGACCACCTATCATCAGAAACAATGCTACTTTTCCATATTCTGATATCCCTTCTGGTCTGTTTCTCCCTTCAGATTGCTTTCTTTTCTTTTTTTCTGATCCCAAGTATTCTTCAGAGAGTCTAGGCAACCAGAATTTTACTTCACCCATTTGTTTTTCTAATAGCACAGCCACCTGTGGTATGAGAACTAAGCTGAGACCATATGACTTTTCTAAGAGCATCTTCAATGTAACTCATCCAAAAACTTGCTCTAAAAAAGGTGTTTTCAGCCTCTTCATAAGTTTGGTGGATTTTTTTTTCTCTTGGTCTTACAAAATCTAGTCATGAAGTTATCTTTTCAAACTTATGTGAGATTTTGTCATAGTCTAAAATCCAGGAGGGAAGAAACCATTAAGCAGGAAATTGAGTTTTTATTTTTCATCAAAAAAGCAAAACTCTGTAATGTTTTTGTGTATTATTTTCAAGCAAAATGCGAAGTCTAAAATGAAATTTAACTGAAGAAGCTCCCAAAATTGTTTAGAAGTGGGATGCTCCTTTGTCATCAGTATCACTAGTCTTCGTGAGACTATCAGCTAATTCTGCATATGGTATGTTGTAAATAAAGTATCACACAAATGCTTTTCTTCCTGTAGCAGAACCAAGTGATTAATGCAACTCTGCTGTGCTCTTCGCCCTTCATTTTAATGAGTCACACAGGCTGGATAATGGTGGCCTCGCATCCTTTTCATTTAGGGTTTATTTGAATACTTGTTAATTTTTCAGGGCCACTATAATCAGGATGTTACGTATTAAAGGAGGCGTTCAAGATTACAGCTTTTGACACTCTCCCATCTTAAAAATAAATTTAGCAATTATGATAAGATGAAATCATCTCCTGTTTTTCTGAGAAACAGGGAAAAGCTTTGTTTTTTTTAAAAAAAAATAAAGAATAACTGGTTTCAGACTTACTCCGTTAGGAGTTTTGGGAGTGAGCAACCAACAGAAGGATTCCTTATTCAAATGCTAATCTTCTCAGCCCATGAGACCAATGGAAATCTCTGGATCTCTGTCCCAGGCAAGGAGGAGAATGCACCAGCAAGCAGGCAACCACTATTGTACCCTGAGAGCCATGCCAGCTCCCCCAGCCTTTCCAAACCTACAATGGTGAGCTGACACATACAACAGCACGTGTCATCCTGTCTGTAGCCATGCATTTGCAAGGCTCAACTCCCCTCAGTCTTGACTCACACAGGTACTTGACTGGACTCGGTACAAAAGCTGATAAAGACATTTGACACTTCACAGTCCTAGAAAAAAAAGGAAACAGAAAACAAAAACTAATCAGCCGCACCAGCAATTATGCACTTCTTCAAATCCTATCAACTGCTAAGATGTGGTGGTAGCCTGGGGCATAGCAGGGGGCCAACAGCATCTGCAGTCTTCATCCCAACCCTTTGCTGAAATTCAGACCCTGGGAGCAATCAGAGCATCGAGCATCATTCACTGTTTTCTTTTGTACTTAATTAATACCCGACACCCTTCGAGCACAGATCTAACCACTTATGACAAGGAGAATATACCTGCTCCTATAGAGGTCCTCCTCCCACTTCATGTCAGTAGTGAAAACCAGATGAAACAAAGTCTTTCTGTGACTTTTGTTTCCATGGTGCACAGCCCTGAGTGCTTCTAGAGCACAATCTCCTTGACTGTGCAATGTGAATCATACAGCATGTCTATCTCTTCAAAAGGGCCTTCGTAAGATGTACTTATCTGAACTGCAGATATCTAATGTTCAAATCTCACTCAAGCTGTCCTCTCCTTACCCTATTCACTGTTTCCACATGGCCCTCCATTGCAAAATTAGGCTGCTTAGTTGGCCAGATCAGTGGCAGTCAGTCATAGCATAGCCATCAACAGGCAAACTTAACAAGTTATCCAAATATACTACAAGCAGAACACTGGTAGAAATTTTAAACAGTTTTTTTTAGCTACAAATATTTGAGATAATCAGATGTCAGAGGTCTTACTAGTGAGGAAACTCTTTATAAGATGAGACAGAATTTTACTTCCTGCAGTATTTCTCCACTGAGAAAGAAACGTTTGCTTTTCCACGTCTGCTGAAATGTTAGTTTATACCACTGCATAATATGTTTCTGAAATCAATTGCTATTAATTGTTCACTGAGAGAAATGTAGAATCAATATTTGTAAAGAGGGTGCACAGACTTGTAAAAAGACCATTATCTTGTTTTCTCTGTCTCATCTGTCCAATTTGGAAAGAGGCTTGGGCCATGGACTGACTATGTGGTTTGAACAGTTCTCAGAGCTATGTTCTTCAGTACATAGGTGAGGAGATTTTGGCAAACGTTTTATCTAGCTGCAGGGGTGGTCAACACAGATACACAGTAACAGAAACATCAATGGGGTGATTCAGTTTAGTCCAGGAATTTTGAGAAACAAGAAAACAAAAACCTAAAGATATGCCTAGAAAAACTGCAAAGAGTCCATAGCAGAAGTCTGCATGAGCTGCTCAATAGAAAGTCCCTACCCTGCCTATTTATGGCTTCCTTTTATCCCAAATTCTGACTTCCAGCTAAAATGTGAAACTGCTAAAATCCACCAGGAGACAGGCATGGGTGGTTTTAATTAATGCTATCAGAAATACATGCACACATATACAAAAAAAAAAAAAAAAAGAGAGAGAGAATATGTCTACATGCTGTAATAAAACATAAAAGACAGATTTAGCCCAATTTAACATAAGCAGAGCTATCTTTGCTAGTGTAGGTTGCCCCTGTGTTAGACTAGAGGTCTGCTTGAGCTAACCAGCCTTGTGGAGAGTAGAGGTCTTTTAATATGGACAGAGTATGTTTTGGCATGAGCTGTCATATCCATGTGATGCTGTGCTGCACGATTTGGGTGTAGCTGTTCAGTGTGACCCAAGTTTCTCAACTTGACCCTCAGTCATGCAGTGAGGACGTGCTGCAACCCACCCGATCCTCCATTTCCCAAAGCAGAGACATGTGCACTGAGCAGAGCTCTCTCAGACCACCACAGTGTCACTGGGATCCAGGTACTCCAGCATGTTTTTGCTTTAACTCCTGTCCTTACCACCAGGATCCTTCAGGTGATTAAATAACATGTTGTATTTGGGACCAGAACCTCCAGAAAGGACTGACCCGTAGGAAAAACTGTGACTGCAAGGACAAGATGCACTTTACATCTCCCCATACACACACATAAATTAGCCAAAGTGCCTCTGAAACTACTGTACAGAGCTTTGCATTTTCTAATAACTTATTATGGATTTTATCATTTAGAAACAGAAATCCCATTTCATAAATAAATCTCTCACAAAGCACATTCCTTAGTAATACTTCACACTACCAAAATCCCCTTCTCTGCTTTTGGATCATGGTTTTGCCTTCCTGTCCAAGTGTAGCTACTCCTGCCTGCTGGAGATGGTGGACAAATTGCTACATCTGACAATCTTAGAAGTAATTCAACCTTGCAATTAACTGCCTTCAGAGCTAATGGAGAAGAGGCAATATCAATTTTCACAGATCACTTTCAGCAGACTCATCACAGTCTGGATTGTGTTTACATGACTCCCTGTGTCTACTACTATTCCAGAGGAGTGTTTCTCTGTTACTGCCCTTCTCTAATTCTTGTAGTCTACCTGCATAGGAAGAAGAGAACAGATCAAGCACAGAACATATGTGTCTTTTCTTTAATTTACACAGAAATAAATGTGCAGAGATTTCACAGAGAGTTGGAGGAAGTGTCAAGTTCTCCTTTTTCCTAGACAACAGCATGGGAGGAGCAGCGTGAGGTGATTCCGATGTTCACAAGTGAACCATGCCAGGAAGATGGGGGTAGCACAGGGCTGCCCTGCCAACTGAGGGACACTGCAGAGAGACAGAGTGATCATGCATCCAGATCCCTGCTTCCTATAAAAGAGAGAACAAAAAAGATTACATGACCAAGGCAAGAAAGGACATGGAATCTCAGGACAGGGGAGGCTGGAAACTTATTACTTTTGTCACTAGGAGGAAGGCTTCATTCCCATATCCACTTGCAACAGAAGAGAAACAAGTTCTGCTGGGGGGAGGCTCTGGGATGGACATCTCTTTCTTCAGATTAGGACCAACACTATTAGAATAATATTTCAAGTGTTAGTGACCAGTGACCCCCATCTGTATGAAGGAGAAGCACCCCTTTGCCAGCCAGACCTATCACCCCAGCAGATTTGGTGCTGGAGCAGTTTTGCCTGAAGCCCAGATTCATGATACTGTAGAGAGATTTCCAAGGCCCAGGCAGATGCTTGACTCCTCCTCTTTGTGAATCATCCACATGGGTCCCAGTGATACAGACACAGAAAACCCTGAGCAGATTAAATGTGACCATAAAGCCTCAGGAGGAAGAGTGAGGAGATTAGGGGCCCAAGCGGTGTCCTTGATAATCCTTACAGTCACAGGGGAGTCACTGAAAGAAGAAGACACAACTGGCAGACCAGTATCTGGCTGTACATCTGGGATGACTAGCAAGGAATCAGCTTCCCTCATCATTTTGTCTTGTCTGACTATGAGTAAGGACTGCTGAGAAGGTAGCGGACCCACTGGACCAAGAGAGAGAGAAGAATTTTGTGGCCATGTTTGTTGAACTGCTGAAACTAGATTCTTTAAACTAGATTCACCGGGGAACTGGGGCTGAAGTCCAAAGATGAAAGAGAAGCTGCAAACAGAGGAAATATGCAAGGGAGAAGGCCTCCAGAGGGACTTTTGCATTCCTGCTCAAAGGGGAAGTTCATTCAGAAGCTTTTTTCTGCTGCTTATAAAGAGTTCATGTGCAAAGCCTGGACAACAGAAGGGCCCACAAGTCCAGGCACAGTGGTAGGGCTACAATAGAATGGGAATGGTGGTGACATGGTGGGACCCACAATTGGAGCACAGTTCTGGATGAGTACAGGCTGATCAGGAAAGACAGGCAGGGAAGAAGAGGGGAAACAGTCATGCTCTGTGCTAAGGAGCTCTTTCACTATGTAGATCTCCAGTATGAAACTGGAAGTGAGCTTCTAGCTCAGTACCACACAGAGAGTAAAGCACAAGGAAGGAACAGTTGGGATGCTGAAGTGGGATCTGTTGCCATTTCCTTTAGAAACCAGACAGCTGTCCTGGGCTCCCTTCTCCTTCACAGCAGCTCCCCGGGGGTTCATGCTTGGCGATCCCTGAATAAGGCCCCATTTTCTCCCTCAAAGCCTGAAGTCCCAACTCTGCTCCTTACCTTCCAGCCTTCCTCTGGACCCCAACCTCCAGCATCTCACGGCTGTTGCAGGAGGAGCTGCCCTGGGTGACTAATGCTGCCACCAGCTCGTCCCTTATTGTGAGAAGCCACTCAGGCTGGCATAGAGAAGGCTAAGGGAGGCTGTAATGACAGCCTACTTGGAGGTTAATTATGGAGATGATGACCAAGCCCCTGCTAGTATTGTGAGACAGATAATATGACCAAGGGCAATAGGCACAATTTGCTGGTCAGAACAATCAAGTTGGGTATTAGGAAAAAAAAATATAGATATTGAAGTACTGGGTCAGGCTGTCCAAAGAGGTGGTGATATCTCTGGACTTCTGGACTAAGTTGGACAAAACCATAACAAAGCTGATCTGGCTCTAGAAGCAGTTCTGCTCTGAGCAGGAGGCTGGGCTAGATGGCCGCAGAGGCTTCTTTCCATCCACCGTTTCTGTGCCTGTGCAATTTCTTTCTCCTTAGTTGTTTTCCTGTCTGGGAAGCTAAGCTGCTAGGTCAAGATCTAGCCTTTAGTGTGCCTGAGAGAGATTTTGCCAAAAAGTCACTGGGCCAGATCTGTCAGTGGAGGACAGGTTGTCATTGTCAGTATTCTTGGGGAAAAGGGAAGAGTAATGATGCCTTTATTTTTCTATCAAAGTGTCCACCTGCCTAGAATTAACTGGCATGTTATGCATTTGTACAGACAGTGAGAATTGTGCTTTAGGAATCAGCAAATAGACTGTTCAGCACCTGGTTGACAACCCTAACTCCATATGGCTTTCTCAGGGCCATTGATTCTTGGGCTTCAGCTACAGGTTAAATGTTTCTCTGTTGGGGTGTCTGGGTGGGTTGATCAACAAGGCCAACTGCAATGTCCTGCGCAGGGGTTGGGGCAATCCCCAATATCAGTACAGACTGGGGGATGAATGGATTGAGATCATCCCCATGGAGAAGGACTTGGGGATACTGATAGATGAAAAATCAGACATGAGCTGGTAGTGTGCGATTGTAGCCCAGAAAGCCAACCATATCCTGGGCTGCATCAAGCGAAGGGTGGCCAGGAGGTCAAAGGAGGTGATTCTCCCCCTCTGCTCCAGTCTTGTGAGACCTCACCTGGAATACTGCATTCAGCTCTGGGGCCCTCAGTACAAGAAGGACATTGGCTTGTTAGAGCGGTACAGACGAGGGCCATGAAAATGGTCAGAGGGCTGGAACGCATCTCTTACGAGGAAAAGATGAGAGAGTTGGGATTGTTCAGCCTGGAGAAGAGAAAGCTCCAGGAAAAGATTATTGCAACCTTTAAATATATAAAGGTGGGTTTATAAGAAAGACAGAGAAAGATGTTTTAACAAAATCTGTAGTGATAGGACAAGGGGCAATGGTTTTAAACTGAAAGAGGGTCAGTTTAAATAGGACATAAGGAATAAATTTTTTTACAGTGAGGGTGGTGAGGCACTGGAACAAGTTGCCCAGTGAAGATGTGTCTGCCCCCTCCCTGGAAGTGTTCAAGGCCAGGCTGGACGGGGCTTTGAGCAACCTGGTCTAGTGGAAGGTGTCCCTGCCCGTGGCAGGGGGTTGGACTAGATGATCTGTAAAGGTCCCTTCCAACCCAAACCGTTCTATGATTCTGACCCTATGATTTTACAAATGAGATCACAACCTCTTAATAAGGGAGCTATGTTTTTCAGTTGAACATTTTCACAGCATAGGAATAAACAAAATGTAAATAAAGAAAGCATTTACACTTTCTGCTTAAAGCAAGAAAAAAAAATATTTCCAGCTACCATGATAGAAATAAGAATCTTGAGCCAATAAAATGGGGATTTCTGTCATGGAAAAAACATCTTTTTTTCTTTCAAAATAAATTGAGCTCTAAAGCCAGCAGTTATAACAAAACATTCCCTCCTTCAAAAAATTACTTTGTATGAATTCCAAATTTTCATCTCAATAGACACCAGTTTAAACCTCTTTTTTGTAGAAAAACAAAGTGTATTTTGAAGTGATAATTTTTTCACTACAAAGACTTTTTTCTCCAAAAATAACACCAAACAACAATCCACTGAAATCTGTATCAGTTTAAGAAATACATTTCACTAGCACACTCTTCTCTCTAGACAGCTGTTCAACAAATGTTTTTGAACCGCTCTCATGGAATCTAGATGGGGAGCTATGAGGAATTATGTCTCATCTTTATGTTACAATCAGGACAGATTAACTATTAGAAAGCTTTAGCTAAAATATGTATATTATCTCCATCAGGAGACAGAAGTTGAGGTATCCTACTCTCGCTGTTTTATGTTGTCACTAAAACAACATAAAGGTGGCCAAATTCAACTAGTAGAGATAGACCTCGTGAAATATGATAAAACTAATGCACAGAGCTCTTCTTTCTTTCCCAAATGTACTCAGAAGCTACCCCCTAATCTTTTAAAATATATAAATATATGGCTATTAAATGCAGAGATAACCAGTTGCAAGAATAAAGCTTAATTTTTAATGCTCATCTTCCCCTTTTGTGTCAATATGGGAGAGTAAGAGTGGAATGCACTTCTCCTCAAGGAGAGGGGCCTTTTTAAATAGATTTCACTAATACTTTTACAGGGCTATAATTAAAAGATATTTTAAAATAATACGCAGTTTGCACCTTCTGTACAACACTCTAAGATCAAAATGGAACATAAGCAGAAAAATTTACCATAGTCCTTTCCACCTCAGTGAAAGATGTCTGTCTCTCTCTTTTATTTCCCATTCATTACCATTTCAGCAGTGTGGCTTTATGGGATAATCAAAAGAAAACATCCCGGAAATTTCTGACATAACTTCACTTCTTTTTTTTTCCCCTCCATCTCAAACAAGGGCCAGATGCACACTCTGAGACTGCGTCATAGTGAGGGGGCTTTTGGTTATTTAATTACAGTTTTTAATTACTGTGAGAAAGCTTAACTGATCCTAAATAGTGGTAGCAGTTGACAAATTACAAGAGCACTCCATGCCCACAGAAAAGCTAATGCTGCAAGGAAAGCACAGGCAATCAACACTAGTTTGTAATCAGTTACATTTCAAAGAAATAGCTTTTCCAAGTGTCTTTGTGCATGGGGGATTACTATCATCTTTGAAGTTTAAATCATTTTTAAAATCTGGCTAGGGGCAAATTAGATAAGAAGGTGGCTGTACAATTAAACTAATATTTTGTAAAGCTCATATGGTTATAAGATCTAAATACTTATCCTGCAAAAATGCTGCCAACACCTTAAAGAGGTGTACCAACTTATTTTTTACCTATAAACTTTGTCACTGACAGATTTGGTAGGTGCATGATTCAGTGCTTAGCACTGGTAACATGATTCATCCAGGTTTCTGAAGAGCTGTCCAAGATGAAGGCTCCAGTGAAGACTCCAGCACGGTGAATCGACTTCCACAGGATTTGGCCACACTCACAGTACAGCTTGGGAGCCTTGCTGAGCCAAGGCTTGGTGCTGTTTTCCAGCTCAACCCACTGAAACAGGGACCAAAACCATGTGCTTGAGGTGGTGACAGACCCATCGAGTCCCACACATGATCACAAGGCTCATTTCTGTACTCCCCTTCACACCCACCAGCCGGGGCCTCTGAGTGGCTGTGCCCGGTGCCTGGCTTCCCTGGGCAGGGGGCTGCCCGGCAGCCGGGGGCAGGCACGGCGCAGGGACAGACACTCTGACAACAGCCTCTCCCACGGCACACGGTTTCCCTGTGCCATCTTTGTCACATTGGCTGGCATGCTCACCACACACCTTCATCACCTGGTTAAGTGCCTGACCCCATCACTGAGCCCGGTGCAGGATTCCTGCACAGGACTTTGCTAACTCGGGAGGTCTGCTGTGATGGACTGTCAGATCCTGTCTCTGCATCTCCTTTTAGAATATGTGGGTTTGGACTGTCAGTCACTCTCGTTGACAAAGAAATCAATTCTCTCCACTGAGACAAGTGGTTTTGTAAAATGCATTCTGAATCATATCAACCAGATGCTTTTATAAAGCTGCATTTGTGACCAAGACTTCATAAAAGAAAGGGAGTTGCAAACTAAAATACATCTTAATTGTCAAACCTCTTGAAAAGTATGGAGTCTTGAAAAGTATGGAGCAATAGTAGGCAACAGAAAAGGGGGTGTTATTTCAGCCTGTGTATATGAACCTTCATTTCAGTGAAAAATTCCAACAAAAGCAGTCTCATTTTTTAGGGTAAAAAAAAAAATAAAAAATCTTATCTGTGTTTGCAAGAAGAAGGAGCCAAAGCTTAACGCAGACTCCTTTCACAAAACCTTTGGGAGCTGAGCACCTTTTGTTTGAGCAGTAAGCGTTCAAAGTGATTCACTGTGATTCACTCCAAGAGAAGTTAGATACCCATGTTCTTTTGAAAACCCTATTACGTGATAGTTTGCCTCTTTGGATGCCTGAATATTTTTAGAAGTCTGCCCTGGTTTGATTGTCATGTAAACATAGTTAACGTGAGGTACCATCGCCGTTTTTAGACCTGGAAATGGAGATGCACAGAAGTTGAATCATTTACCCAAAGGAGCATACAGACACAGTCCCACTAGGTTAGAGCAAAGATCCACTTATCCCAGGAGACTGTCCTGAATGGTGTCAGAAATGGAGACTTGGGACAAGGCTGTAAGTAACGTGTCGTGAGTTGTATTTCCCCTGTTTTGCCTTCACAGCTCCTAGAAACTGTTAGCATAGGGAATTTTTGACAGTTGCATCCAGCAGACCATGTTCAACAGCCATCAACAGAGAAGTGAGCAACTGGCTGAGAATGGATCAGATCCAGGTTTTTATCCACTGCCTTTTAGGCTGGATCCTTGTAAAGGATGTCTGAAGCCTGGAATCAAGTTCACGTTAAGATTGAAATCTCCTGAAGTTGAAAGAATGAAACAATTTTCCCCTGAGAAGCTGGAGGCAGAAGTCAACCTGGCTTCAGAGACACAATTCACATGGACTCTCGCAGAATTTAAATTTTCAATCTGGAACCTGGATCTACCAAGGTGAACAGAAGTGTTACAAAACCCCACAGAGACAGCTGTGCAGTTAAGTTTGATATCTATGAGACAGAACAGTGTGACTCATTTATCACCATCATTACATTCAATACACACTGTAAAAGGAATCACTGAGAGTTTTCAAGAACACTTCAAGGTTTGCTTTGCTGCAATATCTGTTGCAGAGGACTGCATTTTCCATTGTAATGAATTGCTTTAGAAGGAATCCCAAGAAGGTTAAAATTTCTTACGCTACTGTGGCATCATAATTTTAATAAATATTTTCCTTGTTGGTTACAAATTTCCCTAGTACTCTTTGCAACCAAAGCAAAGAAGGAGTCACTGCAAGCCATGTCAACTAACAACTGAAAGAATCAATTAATTCACTTGCCAGGCATCACTCACTCATCAGGTTGGCTTTTATTTATCTGAAAAACTGTATTTTACTTGCCTGCTAAAAAGTAAAAGCACACCTCTGAGAAATTAGCTGTATTAGATCTCGTGGGATGTTTGTGGTGGAGGGAGGGGCAGATTCTGCAGATCATTCCAAGAAAACCAATGACTTCCCTTAAACAAAAAGTCAGAAAAACAAAGAGGAAAAAACAGAGGACAGATGGGAATGACACTGCAGCAGCACAGCTCCTTGGAAGCTGGACAAGGTTACAGGAGCATCTCTGGTTTAGCAAGTCAGTGCTGCAAAGTGCTAAGTGTCTCCACTCCTGCTGGAGTTAATTACCACATGAAATCCTGAAGGAAGAGAAATATTTCTAAACTAAAAACTCTTTTACTCAGCTCTTTCTTTTTGCTGAAGCAAAAAATCACTGAGTTCAAAATCAGTGAAGAGCTGATCCAACAGCTTATGCAAGTGAGTTTCTTGCCAAAAGAAGGAGTGATGGAACAAATTAATATTTTAAGGAAAAATGGGAATACAGTGGTAACATCTAAAATGATTTAATGATGTGTCTGAGCTCATTAAAACTATGATATTTTTTACTAGACTAGAGAACCGAAACATGTACTTATATTTCAAAACAAAAAGCAAACCCTAAATATTATCTTGGTAATAATTAAACAGTTACAATCATTTCAAAAGAAACAAACAAAAAAAAAGTTTACTTTTTTATATGTATAATTATATATATATAGTGGAGACCAGCGACAAGTGGCGTTTCTCAGGGGTCACTATTGGGACCAGTACTGTTCAACATCTTTGTTGGGGACAGGGACAGTGGGACTGAGAGCACCCTCAGCAAGTTTGCCAACGACACCCAGCTGTGTGGTGTGATCGACACGCTGGAGGGCAGGGATGCCATCCAGAGGGACCTGGACAGGCTCAAGATGTGGGCCCGGGCAAACCTCAGGAAGTTCAATAAGGCCAAGTGCAAGGTCCTGCACGTGGGTCAGGGCAATCCCAATCACAAATACAGGCTGGACGATGAGTGGGTTGACAGCAACCCTGCTGAGAAGGACTTGGGGGTATTGGTTGATTGGGGCTCAACATGACCCAGCAATGTGTGTTTGCATCCCAGAAATCCAGCCATATCCTGGGCTGCATCAAAAGAAGTGTGACCAGCAGGTCAAAGGAGGGGATTCTCCCCCCTCTACTCCACTCTCATGAGACCCCACCTGCAGTGTTGTGTCCAGCGCTGGGGTCCCAACATAAGAAGGACACAGACCTGCTCATGCAGGTCCAGAGGAAGGCCATGAAGATGATCAGGGGCTGGAGCACCTCCCCATATGAGGACAGGCTGAGGGAATTGGGCTCATTCAGCCGGGAGAAGGCTGCAGGGAGACCTTACAGCAGCCTTCCAGTACTTAAAGGGGGCTACAGGAAACCTGGAGAGGGGCTCTTTATCAGGGAGTGGAGTGATAGGACAAGGAGTGTTGGTTTTAAACTGAAAGAGGGAACATTTTAAACTGAAAGAGGGGACATTTAGATTAGATATTAGGAAGAAATTCTCTCCTGTGAGGGTGGTGAGGCACTGGCACAGGTTTCCCAGAGAAGCTGTGGCTGCCCCCTGGAAGTGTTCAAGGCCAGGCTGGACGGGGCTTTGAGCAACCTGGTCTAGTGGGAGGTGTCCCTGCCCGTGGCGGGGGGGTTGGAACTAGATGATCTTTAAGGTCCTTTCCAACCCAAACCATTCTATGATTCCATGATTCTATGATACAGCTCAATTCAGTATCATGTGGAGATGCCCAGACTAGCCCTTAACACTGGATGTTGAAGAAGGGTATTACCAAGCGATCAAGGAGACTAACACTGCAAACAGAACCTGCTACTGCTTTGGAAGGGTAGTGAACCAAGTCAGGGTCAGGTTCTCTGTAGAGAACCTCACCAACTACCTCCCTGTGCAGCTGATCTACCTCATTTTCCCAGGCATAATCCCTGGCAAATAGCTTACATCTAGCCACAAATTTTTGCTAGCATCCAACTTCAAGATATTTGAAAAACAGAGAAATGTGATTTAGGTAGATTTGATTTCTACAATAATGAGAAAAACAATTTATCTAGATGTACAGGACTTACCTTATTCACTCTGACCAGAAGCCACTCTAAGCTTGTTCACTGTCTCCAAAGCAAAAGTATGTATTTCCTTTTGAAAATGTTGTAGAAATACTGCTTAGTCATATCTCCAGCTTTCTCCTTTTCTCACTTTTCACAGTCAACCTCATTCATAACTGGCAATACTAGTTTCTCCTTTGGAGGTGGCAGTTAGTGTAATTGCTGGAAAAAATAAAAACAGTACTGAAAGAATGGCCTGAGGAGGCAACAACGTTGAAAGTCATAGACATGACAGAAAGGTAGGCAGGTCATGCTTTTAGGAGGAAAGTCAAAAAACAGTGGGTTTTCATGAATTGTGGAAAAAAACTACATACCTACCAGCCGAGGGCATGTTGTATGGTAGGGAGTAATCAATAATAACGTGTCAGATGTGTTTGTCCTCCAAGTCGTATTTCCTTTTGTGCACTTTCCTTCTGTTTGTAGCAGTGTGCAGACTGCTACGGGCTACTTGAATGTTTTCTGCTTGTGTCTTTTTATTTCCAGAGATCATTTCAGCAGAGGCATTTCCACTCTCAGCAAAAGCAAACTGTTCCTGTTTGTATCAGGCAAACCAGATGGAGAAAACAAATCATTAATTTATGACTCAGAAGATACATTTTTATGACAGGACTTTGTAACACCCAGCACTTCTTTTTTAATTTAATTTTTCATGACATTTACGAGCAGATAGGAAACTAAAATTGGAAACAGGAGATTCCTCATAGTGGCAGCGTGCTGTCCTCAATCCTCAGGCTGCAATTACAGATCCTCTTCTGCCAGTAGCAGCCCCAGGTAATGCTGTTCCTGCTCCCCCATACTCTCAGCACCCTGACACTGGTGGTAAGGAGAGGCAAGGATCGGCATGTGGGCATCTGGGGACAGCAGCACTTTTCCTCAGCTGAGCAGCAGCAGAGCTGCAAACTTGGCCACAGCCTTGACCAGCAGGGATCAGTCTAGTCCAGAAATCCCACCTCTTCTTTGGGTCAGGATGGGATCCATCAGCAGGTGACCTTCCCTTCCCCATGCTCCTCTGCCAGCTTTGATGGAGGAGAGGCACTAGTTTTATTAGCTTGATGAAAGCATGCCTCACTGTCTCCAGTGTTTGGCAACGCTTGGGAAAGGAGCCAGGATTTTCACCCTCCGGTGCACTGGCAGTGTTTAGTGCTTCACACGGATACATCTGCAGTGTCCTGCACACGCGTGTTGCACCCTCTTGCTAGGAGGGGCCTGGGAGTGAGCGTTTGGGGTGACTGCCAAGTGCCCTGGGCTGTGGGAGGCGTCCGGTTAGCCCACGACAGCTCCTCGGGAGGAGGATCTCTCCCTTGCAACGAGCCCAGGATCTTACCATTGCAAAATTTCCTAACAGCCAGGGGAGGAGAGGCCTGATCAAAAATATTGCTTGTCATGCTTTAACAAGGCAGAGAGCCTCTCCATCTCTGCTGCCGAATAATTCCCATAGCAAAAGAAAGTGTGTGCTCTCTCTCTTTGCTCCCACAACTCCGCTAATAGCTTCACTGAGCAAGTGATTTGTGCATCTCCCAGTGCTTTGGACAGCCCTTCTTTGTTTTTTTTAGGGACCTCTGTGCATCACAACTATTAATCACCCGATTCATTGATAAAGCTGACACAGACAAGGTTATGAAAGTACACATGCTTTGGAAACTAGATGTGATGTTTGGTTTTGTTTGCAAAACGGCTCAGATTGTGGGAACAGTGACAGGCTCAAAGAGGGCAATTCATTTTTTTTAAGTCAGATGAAGTGGCTGCTGCTTTTAGTTAATTGCCAACTCTATTTTTCAGTACTAAACAGAAAACAAATTCTATTCTATTCCCCATAATGAGCCAATTCCAATTAGGGTAATTGCCATGGGATAATTGTAGACTACCTATGGTTAATTAGGGCTCTACTGTGTGTTTACAGCACTCCAGGGGTGTAAATATTTTATGATAACCACAGCTTCATACGTTGTTACCACTTAATTTAATATATTACATCATTATTATTGGGAGGGTGGGAGAGAAAAGAGGCAAAGCTGTGAAACACGATCACAAAATCTGCAACAGGCTCTTTCCCCAGTAGTAAACCACCCTACCTGATAATCTGATTATGCTGAAAGATTCCCTTTTTTTGGGTCATCTTATGTTCACTCAGCAGGAAAAACAAGTGCACCATCATCAGCGGTTGAACTTCTCTGAGCCTGATGGCAAGCAGAAAAACAAAGGGAGCCGGAAGATGGTGCTGGGTTCAATCCTCCCTGCACAGCCCCGTCTCTCTGGGGCACCGTGCTGCTGGGGCACTGTGCACCCACGTCCTCACTCCGCTGAAAAACACTTCACAAAACACAAATAATCTTATCAGGCTGAAACAGAGAAAGAATTATAAATATCTGCAAGTTTTACTTGGTATGAAATGTTTTTGGTTGGTGTCCTTGGAAATGTGAATGTTTTTCGTTTAGTCATTTCGTCGAAAATGTGACATCATGAGTGGGAAGAGAGAGTGAAAGTGAGTGTTCAACTTCTGGAAAAACGCACAGGAAATTCCACCTGCAATCAGAACTGAGATCGGGAGTATAAAACCCACAGAAACCCCTCAGTTTGCTAACTGGCCCCTCATAAAATTGTCTTACGTGCAAAAATTAGTGTTTAATAGAACAAAGAAGGTTCCCCAAAGCATGTACATGTGTGGGGTGTGAGCAAGTGATATAGTTTCCCAGTTGTGTAGTGTAACTCTTAACCTGTTAACGCCTTTCTTTAAACAGATAAAGGTTCAGAATCCTCATCCCAGACAAGAGGGAAAAATTCTAAAAATCAGTTCCTTCATCTTCATTATACAAGAAAGTATCCATGTCTAGTATGGTTTTGGTGTCAGCATTCATTGTAATTTCCAGCTTTATCAGTAGTTTACGATGAAATAATCTCATTCATCTGTAAAGAAAAAGTTTAGGCAAAATCTCAGTATATAACCTTTCTCACAAAACAGGCCTAACCACAGCAGCTGAGTTAATAACTGTCTTTGCCCGTCTCCTTCAAAATAACCTCCCATTCATGAGACAACCTGATAACCGGTGATATTGTTCTCTGTTTAAATTCTTCTGTTCTCTGAATAATACTAAAACTAACTTGGAAACATCCTGCTCAGATACCTCTGGTGTTCTTCAGAAGGGAAAAGTAGGTTTGCAGCACAACTGATGAAAGCTTCTTTGTATACCATGACAATACTAATGGGCATTTTTGCTGCTGATCCTCTTCCATTGACATCCAGCCAGGACAATAAATCAGACACATGTTATTATTAAATTCCTGAGTATAACTCAGCAGTTAGATGAAATTATGAGAATTATAGGCATCCATGAGAACGATAATGTTTTATCCACACTATACATCTAACTGCTGCACTGTACAAACTGGGAAACTAAACATGCTTCATTCGCTCCATTTTATGTAGAAGAAAGAAGAGGGTGGGAGCACTGTCAGCAATTTGTATCATCTCCTCTGGAGACGTCCACAGTACATTTCTTGACCCATAATTATGGCAGTGATTCCACCTCCCCTATTTAGACATAGCCTCTGGGTCTAGACCAAATATGAATCACTGTTGGTGACAAGAACACAAGTGTGTGTGCATTCCCTGGCTTGTTACCACACTCTTATCCCTCATGAGGAATTATTTCAGACTTATTTCACAATCCCTGAATATAGTATAATCATACTTACAATTTTGGTTGTTATGAAGAAATCTTCAAAAGCATAGAATATTCTAAAGTGATACTGTACTGGCTGCCTGAGTTTGCAGGCAGCCTGAGGCAGCACTATTGCCAGATTTGTGGTGTCCAGTTCATCTTAGAAACACCAAATGATGACAATTTATATGAAAACTTTTTGTTACCTGCTGGTTATTGATGTTAATGAACTTTGAGCTGATTTGAGGTTTGCTCATTTTCAAAAAACCTATATCAAACATTTTAGAAGCTTTCTAGCCAGTTGCCAAAAACTACAGCCCACCTTTGGCAACTTTATCAACTGGGTTAGGACTGTCTTCAAGAGAATTTAAGAGACACTAAAGATTGAAACTGTGGGATAGCATCAAAAAATCTTAAATCATGGACTGTGTTGTATTTTTAATTACTGTATGTATTCAGTGTTCAAACCATGACAGAGTATCCACCGTGCAAGTTATAGTATTCCTCTGCTCAGTAGTTAATTAAACAAAAAAAAAAAAGTTTTCAAAAATGCAGCTAATTTTGCTTCCAGATTTCTATTGCTCTTAATCCAGAGATCTCACAGGTAATTACGATCATCTCATCTGCTTCCAGGACTTGACGGAAGGCCAACTGAGACACTGGTGTTCTTGGCTACTTGTGTATTGGGAAGAGGCAAGGGCAGAGAAATTGCAGTCAATTAAGAAGCTTTACCAAAGGTGGACAGCAGAGGAGTTAACCAGGGTTAAATAGCTGTCCTTTGTGGAAAAAACATACTGCAGGAGGACAGAGGTCAGGCCACAGGGATCACGGCTGAGGCATCTCAGAAACAGGGTGGTAAGTGAGATGGAGCCCCAGAGAGCAGCTCCCCGCAACTGCCCCCCGCCTTCCCTGAGCACCTCCAGAGCCTGACACATTGCTGGGGACATGCTGGTCTTCCACGAGGTCCAGCAGCTCAGGAAACAGCCTGCCTGTTTATTTTTGTTTCCTTGTGGGTCCACACCTTGCACAAAATGTGGATCTAAACTTCAGCTTCTGAAAGTGTTTTATTAGATTGGCATTTCTTGGCTACGGACGGGAGCAACTGAGTGAAACGTGTTTTATTTTCGATGCCAAAAAAAATGAACAACAGCATTAAACACTTAGAGTTCCATCTTGAACAAGATTAACTAAAGTTACCTGACAGTCATGTTTTTCATTTCCATTCCCCATTAAAACTTCAACATTAGTTGTTTGCCAAAAGTAAAGTCTTATTTAAATATGCAAGTGATAAGTGATTTATTTTGAAGCTAAAACTTATAATTCTTACAAGAAAGCTGGAAGCTCATTGAGTAAAGATAAAATCCACCTGATCTAATCACATTTCCTTTTCTTGAACTCATTCTAATTTTTAATAGCTTAAATCACCTCTGAAGGACAAAAAAAATCAATCCACACACGTCTTTGGAGCAAAGCAGAATTATTTTTAGATTGCACTTTGTGGCTAAATCTATAATATATTGTTCTGCTCTGAGAAAGCACTCCATAAATGTGGCATCACACATCAGCTGTTCATTTCTAAAAGAGCAGGAATAATCACAACAAATTAAACTTTTGAAGAGTATACTTCCTTTAAAAATTATTTTATGGCAATATCAAAGATAAAGGCCAGTAAGCAGTTGAGAAGTTAGTTATAATCCCAGGAGCATAACTGTTGTACACAGCCAATTCTCTTTAAAAATCAGGAAGAGGTAAATAATGGAATAATTGTCATATGGATACACTTTTGAGGGAGTTTAAAAAATACAGCAA